TTTGTACTTTACCAGAAAAGATTCACTTTGTGTACTGCACAGTTTGAAAAAAGGGCTAGTCAATTTTAACAGTGGTGGTAATCATATAAACAAATAAGTGTAATGACGCTAAATAAAATGTTAAATAAAAGCTGTGAACAATAGTTTAATTTATGAAGAATGGGTGTGTTATTAAATTATCTGATGCAGATTTAAAAAAATTGATTGTATTTTGTAAACAAGGAAAATATGCAAGAGTTTTAAAGCCACATTTTTTTAAATTGCATGTTTAGATAGAATGAACAAGAAGCAGTTGCTTTTAAGAGACGTTTGGTGCAATGGAAGGAGAGTCTCTCTAACTCTCTCTAGCTCTCTCTCTCTCTCTCTCTTTCTCTCTCTCTACCTATCTCTCTTTCTCTCCCCCTTTGTAAATTTATCGGTAGAGTAACAAAGTGTAATATAGAAAGTTAGCCTGTGTTGATTAGAGTTGGTGCGGCTAACGTGATATAACCGAACCACTGATTGGCTGATACAAAGAGAGAATGGGATTACCTCTGGGGAAAGGGCCCCAATCAGATCAGCAGGGTGATTAGCCCCTTCTCTCCACCTCGGCACGACTTCGCCTTTCATTGGCTTACCCAACCTGTTTTCTTAAAGCAATAACATCCAAAGCTCTTACTTTATGTTTTTTCTATTTTCCACAGGATAAAGTGAAAATTGTATCCTCGGATAGAACAATCTTGGTATTTTGAATTTTTTTTTTATAAATCGGATTTTCTCTCGGTTAATCGAGCCGTATGAATAAATCAACCTGGATAAAAACAGCTTTTTAAAAACTTTACGGCAATCCGGTTAATTTGGTAATTTTATTTTAATTCGCTCGAGCAGTATGAATATTTTATTACGGGCCTGGATGTAATTTTTTCAGTTGTCGAATCCTCCAACGGTGTCGGAGAGGGGGTGTGTAATTGTAATTCGATTTTGTCGCCTGCCAATTTGCGTACTTTTTTAATATTAACCGAATTTATTTATTTTCGGACCCATTAGGTTAATTAGGTCGAAATAACTGCCTTAGCTTTATAACGGGATATAACACTAATGGCATTTCCATCCGGATCTCAAACGGTTTTACTCGATGACATGAAAAATTTAATTCGGATGTAAATACCTTTTTTACCGTGTTACATTTTGTGTAATTTTCGTTAAATGCGTTTTTTGACTAAATAAATCCTGATTTTGGGATATTTTATAATTTTTAAAGAATATTTCCTTCGTTGTTAGAAAGATTCAAGTTACACCCTTTTTTAAACAATTTGTAACAAGTGCAAAAAGTTCTGCATCTGCATTATACTTGATAACAGTTGTGCGTGTGTGACTGTGTTTGTATATAAACATTGGGAGACCCGACTTTGCCAACGATTTTTTTCTGCTGTTAAAATTATTGTATGTTATATTCAATTCCAATTAATTGTTCGTTTTATCTAAGCTTTTAGATTTTGATGAAAAATTAGTGTCACGAGCGGGATTCGAACCCACGATCTTCGGCTTAATGCGCCGCTGCTCTAACCAGTTGAGCTATCGTGAGTTCGATCCCCACGGACACTAACTCTTCAGCCGAAGGTCGTGGATTCGAATCCCGCTCGCGACACTAATTTAACTCAACCAAAAAACTTAGAAAAAATTATAAAAAGGATAATTAATTGGAATAATTAATATGGTTAATTTGACCATTAAGCGAATATGGATTAAGTTATATTCAATATTAGCACATTTTAAACATCTTTTGTTATCTCATTGAAGTTAATACATAAAGGATAAAGACATTAACACATTTAAAATTTTATTAAAATATAAACTAATCTAAAATTAAATTGACTAATATAAAAAACGTAATACTTTCTGTCTGTCTCTTTCTCTCTCACTCCCTCGTCTCTATCCCCACCCCTCTCTCTTTTTTCTCTTCCTCTCACTCTCACTCTGTTTTACTTCCTTTCATTTTCGGCCTGTTTGTCTCTTTCTTTGTTTCTCTCTCTCTCTTTCTCCGTCTCTCGCTCTCTCTCTTCTGTATCTCCCACCCTCTTTCTCTTCGTGGCACTCTCTCTCTCTTTCTCACTCTCTGTTTTCTTTATTTTACTTTCTGTGTCCTGTTTGATTCTTTCTTTGTTTCTTTCTCTTACACTCTTTCTTCCTATGTTTTTCTTTGCATCTTTTTCCCCCTCTCTCACTCTCTCCCCCTCACCATCTCATTATTCTCTATTACATTTTGTCTGGCTGTCTACTTCTCTATCTATCACTCTCTCTCTCTCTCTCTCTCTCTCTCTCTTTCTCTCTCTCTCTATCTATCTATCTATCTATCTATCAATCTATCTCTTTTTCCCTCCCTCTCTCTCCCCCTCACCTCTCACTGTCACAACGTCTTGCACAACAATTAAACAATTTAGATTTTAAGACGTTACGCTTTTGAATTTAGAGGTGTAGGGGCGTTATTATGGTCATATTTAGTCATAATTATTTACTAATGATAATGTGATTAGGTACTGGTATATCTGCAGTTTATACTGTGTTTAATAATGGACCCAAGGTGTTACCTTGGGAAACTCCTCCCTTAACCCTATGCAAATTTAAAGAAGCGGAACCAACCCAATTGTAAACTATCTATCAACCAGATATGATTCGAGAAATTAGAAAGTGTGTAGAATGCCCTTCAGCTTTCTGAGTAAACCCTGATGAGATTCGATCGAAATCCAGTTTCACGTCAAACCAGGTCGCCTGTATAATCGATCCGGGATAATATTAAAGGTGGGAATTGTGTGTCGGGTGGTTTTTTTCAAAATGGCTAAAAACTGGGAATAAACGGAAAGGACAGTAGAAACTTGTAAGTTGGTGCAGTTTTTGGGCTTAGGACTTGATCGAAACTTTGCTCTGGGGAATAAATGGTGGGGTGGATTGTTATAGTGGGATTAAGACTTTTTTTCTTATTTTTAAGTGGTAATAAACTTTTACTAAATACAAAATCACATAAAAAGTAATCATTTAAATGGAATAACTCTCCGGAATTAGTAGGATAGAATGTCTACTGAGAGAAACAAAACGTGGCCACCCTCGTTTTGGTGGTAAATACTCGTTATAATAATTATTTCTTTGGTTTTTACTGGATATTTTTACAGAAAAATATAAACTATAGCAAACTAAAAAATTAAATAAAAAATTTAACTGAGTAAAAGAATTTTATTAAAAATGTTTCTATGGAAACATTGCAGAAAATATTCAATTCAGAACAGAGTATTTCCCCCTCTTGCGTTGATCACCGCTTGCTTTCGGCATTGTTTTTATGAATTTTTTAATGTAGTGCTATGGAATATTTTCGTACTGCTCCAAAAGGGCCATTCTTTCCTTTAATTCCTGTAAATTCTCTGGCAACACTGGGCGACTTTTTACCCTCGTCCCATAGATGTTTCGATACTGGTTAAGTCGGGATATATGCTGGCCACCCAAACATTGAATTGAAGCCCGTTCCAAGTAGTCACCAACGATCCTAGCTTTGAGGGGCCTTGCATTGTCATAAAAATAAAACCGTCGCTAATTAGTGGTACATAACAACAACTTCTTGTGATAACACATCATCAATGTATCGCATAGTGTAGGGAACCTTGGATGAAGACCAAATGTGTGCGACCTTCCATAGAAATAAACCATAACACCACCACTTCCATAGCTTCTCCGGATTGAAAATGTTGCAGGGACATATCGCTCTCCTGTTCTTCTCTTGGCCTTCAGAGAGACAACAACCCTCACCAAGACTGGTAACTCACTACTGCAATTATAGAGGACCCAGACTCAGAGGAGTGCCAGGAATATTATTCGGTCACTGGCATCTGAGAAAACATCTACACAAATGAGCATATATACGATGATCCCATTTGCAGATTATGTAATGAGGAAGAAGAAATAATCACCCATATCACCTTCGAACGCAAAGGAACAGCTCAATGGAGACATAACCTAGCATACAGAAAAAAACCTAGGGAATGAAATTGTAGCAGCAACAGTCAATGACCTAATGCTTCTGAGAAGAAGGAGAGTCGATTGCACTGAACTAGGGAACTAGGAAGGTACAATAAGCCAGAAGGACTCCGCTTACTAGTTTCATCATCATCATCACATCTAATCCTTTAAAACGGACCAAAAATTATCGAATGATAATCAACGGAGAATTGTCAAGGAGATAATTAAAAATATTAAGGTGGCCACTTTTTTTGCATCTCAGTGTATTTTAAGGAAATACGTGGCTCGAAATTTCAAATATAAAACCGGTGTTCAAACAAAGAAAGTATAAAGTTAAGAATTTAATTATATCAAAATTGATTGGATTTCACTCAATCTATTGGTAATTTCTGAGAATAGTTTGTATATTTGATTATTAGGGGATAAGAGTTGAATGGATCATATACCACTGCAAAATTAATTTCTCTTATGTTTTTATTCCATACCAAGAGATCAACATTTTTACAGATCGATAATGTGTTTTGAATTAACAATCTGCGGGTATACAAGATCGTGGAATTAAATATTGACGATGCCAAAATTGAAAATCCCCTTCCCTTAAGAAGCCGGAGGTCTGGTCTCTGGGGGCTTTTCCAGAGGCTATCCCGAAATAAAGAAATCAAAGAATGGGGTTGGTAATCTGACAAGGAAGGAGTTCTGACAGTTGCTAATGTCGTAGAGCGAGTATTTCGTTTGTATTGACCAGGTGGAGGCAGGAGCCAAACTGGATCTGACTTTATAAGAGCCTCCGGGGAATTCACTCTGCCTTTCTATTATATGGATGCGGATTCCATAATAAAATCGTAATTTTTTCTTTAATATTCCTGCGGATGATTTATTTTCGTGAAAAAAAAACACGAACAACTAACTCAAATAGAAGTAGAACCTTTAGCTGATTCAAGAATTCAACACACCTATTCTCTTAAAAAGTGTAATAACCGTTAACGCTCTTCGTTAAAAAATGTCTTTTGTTGCAGGTCTGGTTTCAAAACAGGAGGGCCAAATGGAGAAAGGCGGAGAGGTTGAAGGAAGAACAGAGAAAAAGAGAAGAACAAGAAAGGGATGAGCAGCCATCAAATCAAAATAAGGTATATACACACAAAAAATCGTCAAATTACCGATAGTAATGGAAGTACTCATACGAGGATTTAGTAATATATTCAGTTGGTATGGAAACAGCGATGGCCTGTAACATTAGGGCGATATATTGACTTTAAGGGGTCTCAAGAGACTCCTTCTCAAAACTCCTTTTAACCAAATAGACACACCCCCATTTATCTATCACTTCCTTTTTATATGGAAATTCACTTGATGTTTAGGGGAAGAGACTGAGGGGTGAAAGAGCGTTACGCCTCCGACGTGCTGTTAGGCTTTTGTACCGAACTCTTCTGCCTTCCATGAACGCCTATAATTCATTGTCACGTGTATCGTTGTACTAACAAGATAATTGTGAGAACATGCCCCAGCTTCCCTGCTCTTTATTAAATCAAGTAGAACAAACTAGGGCTAATATGTACCCTGTCCGTCGGATGATGTCAAATTAAAAATAGACTGTGTCTGTTAGGAAATTTCATAAACTCTAGGCCAATTATTTTATAATTAATTTGTTTTTCTATTTTCTCGACTTATAAGTCAAATCGTTTAAGAGTGATTATGAACTTGGAATACTTTGTTCCACCCAGATGTAATGAACCGCACTATCGCAGATTCGAGGAAGTACTACTACGAACTAAAACGAAATAGTACGAGTTCTATCGTAGACAGTGAATAGTTCGAGCTGTAACAAAAACAGTGATGAGGAGAGACGAGATAGTACGAGTTTCAGTAAAAACATTAACGAAAGGAGAAAAGGTAGTATTAAATGGTACATAAAAAGTCACAAAGCGATACGCGCTAGTGTATAGTAGTACAGTAACATATTAATTGACAAATTACATAGGACATAGGTACTACATAAATTTATAATTTAGGGGGAAAAGTAACGGGGCTCTGCATATCCTAAAGCAATCTTCCAAAAATTTAAATACTTTAGGTAGATAGTGTAGAAACCTCGGATTCACTTAGTGGGGGAAAAATTTACCAAAAAAACCACTAATCATCTCAGTTGACTCATATTTGGCAATTAAACACATTTTAAAGGAATTTAGTAAGTGTTGTCTAATAATAAATAATAATAGCTGTTAACTACAATCCAAAACATCTAAAAATAACAATACCATCAAATGTAAAACATAAACAACAATAAAATATAAACAGCAATATAATAATAAAAAATAGAAATAACTAAATAAATATAGGGGAGTTGGTGGCCGCAACGGTTTAGACGTTGACACAGCGCTCATGTAAGTTAAATGTCCCGGGTTCGAATCCAGCGGCCCTGCATTCGAGCCCGACATGCTTACAAATTGGCTTTTTTTCAAAAACACCAGCACCCCGAGAGTTGATATAACCACTGTTGTTGCGAACCCTCGTACAAAATAAATAAATAAAACTAAATAAATAAATATGGCATAGCTCTAAAACAATGGCAAAATATAAATATCACAGGTATAACACACAATCCTTTTTTTTTTAAATAGTTCCTACTCACAGTAAGTTGTTTTGCAACGTCCGGATTTCGAGCCTTTTAGCTCATCATCAGGTTGAAGGACTTCTACAACCTCGTCTCTCGACATGAATTGCTAAAGTATGCTAAGGCATTTTATGCATATGGTCAGGAACATTAGAGGCTCTCATAGAATTCCTCCAACTAATTAATTCTCTTCACTGTAATATAAATTTTACATTGGAAATTGGCAAAGATGGTTGTTTGAACTTTTTAGACCTAAAACTGTCCATAATAAACAACCTAATAGAAATAGACATATATAGAAAACCCACAACTACAGAAACTATGATACCAGCGGATTCTTCCGCACCCATGGTCCCAAAAGGCTGCTGGTTTCATTTGGCTCATAGACCGGATGTTAAAACTTCCGCTAACATCTGATAACTATAAAAAAGAATTAAAAACTATTAAAGTCTTGGCAAAAAACAACGGGTATCAAGAGATATTTATTGATAGGTTGGTAGTTAAAAGAATAAAAAAATTAACTTTAAACGAATCAACAATAGGACTCAGCCATCCCACCACAAATGAATCATTAGGTTTCCGTTGTTTGCCATACATTGGTGAATTATCGGAAAAAGTTAGTAAAATTTTTAAGCAAGAAGGTTTTAGAATAGCTTTTAGAAGTATGGGTTCACCAAAAAACATCCTCTCAAAACCTAAAGAGAAAGTAGATAACTTGGCAAAAAGCGGGGTTTACCAATTCAATTGTAATGATTGTGATATTAAATATATAGAACAAAGCGGTAGAGAAATAAAAACAAGAGTAAAAGAACACTTGCCTAAATCGAGCAAATTTTCGGAATTTAAGGACCATCTAAAAGAAACAAAACATAATATCAATTCAAATCTAAATACAAGAGTGTTACATAGTTTCAACAAAGGGAAAGAATTAAATTGGTTTGAGAAATTTGAAATTAAAAAATGTAAAATTGAACATGGTGATAAATGCATTAATAACATAACAGATTTGGATCTACCTCCCATTTTAAATATGTACATAAATAATATCAAACATCCAAATAATTAAACTAATTATTTTAATTGTTATTATTTTTATAGTAATTTAATAATATTAAGTATTTACTAGTATAATATTGAGCGCCATTAAACAAATCAGCTGCTAATTGGAACGTCGCGTTGGCGGAGGTATCAGCGGGTTCACTTTAGCAATTCATGTCGAGAGACGTGGTTGTAGAAGTCCTTCAACCTGATGATGAGCTAAAAGGCTTGAAATCCTGATCGTTGCAATACAACTTACTGTGAGTAGGAACTATCTTTTTAAAAAGGATTGAACACTCCCTCACTCCATCATTTATAATTTCTATGGTATAACACACAAGCGCTTAAGGATCAGAATCATTAAGGAGTCAGATATTTTTCATATGTAGAAGTTACATGCTTTATTATTGTTTTTACATTATATTATGCTTTATTCTCCTATGTTTCCACGAAACTTATTTCATTTTGTCTCATAGAGAGACGTGCAAAAAATTGTTTCGTACTCACGACGCGCTAGTGTGACTTAAACATAGACGATCTAATACAAGACAGTACGAGTTGCTAGATAGACAGTTTTGAAGCGAGACAAGGAAGTTCAAGTTGGAATTAAAGCAATGACAAAGCGGGTCTATTTGTAATTTTTACCAAAAGCTGAAAGCACTTGAAACCTTTTAGTTATACTAAAAAATTCTTTGATCCATCTATATTCAATTGCGCGTTGAATATATAAAGCGCCGATTTTTAAAAACTTAAATAATTTATTTGTGTTTTATTATAAGCCCTTTGGCTTTTTACAACCGTAAAACCAGAACATACAGGTAAATACCGACAAATAATCATAGTCTAATTAAATGCTGCTATGTCGCAAGGAATGAGAGAAGGATAATGTGTCGTATTCCTTAACCGATTGTGATTCCGATCATTAGGTGATACTGGGAAGCCCATTAGCAAACGGCATTATTCTGATGATGAAGTGCAGAAGATCCGAGACATCTAATCAAAATGTTCGGTCTCCCCTGCGATTACCTCGGATTATACGCCCAGCTCATTAGGCATATCAACACCTGCTACACCGACGACAAATCAAACGGAACTAAATGGAATTATAACCGAAGTTTTAATCGTTGTTCTTGTTTGATTCGCATTGTTTTCGTGAAGGACCACTGTGAAAATTCTGATTTCCTTAAGTTGTTTCTTTTCTTTTTGACACGGGTGGATAAAAATTATAAAGGAGAATATAGACTAGGACAAATCATAACAAATGAAAAGAAAATGACTATCCTTGCGGGCGAAACCTTACGTTTTGTAAAATGCTAGTGATTGTTTGATCGCCCCATGTGGTCTGCAGAGTGTTGGTGGTTTTCGATCATTTTGGTTCATCCTTGTTTTTCCGTCAGATTTCGTCGAGCGACGTACCTGAACAGGATTGATTTGCGTGTTCACGATGAAGATAAAATTTATGGAATTTTATCTTTGTTTAGCATAGAATTTTTTTATCATGTTGTAGTGGTCAACTATCGAAGTTAGCGAAATATGGCGAGAGAAGGTATACCAAAACGACCAAACTACTAGTTGATTTACCACAGACCGAAGAAAGGAATTTTTTCACGAAGATCACCAGGTCTTTAGCTATTACACATTCTACAATAAAAATTATTTTAGTTTTATTTAGGTACGATCTTAGGACCTTTGTATCAGTGCCGTCATAGTGCTCATGGCTGAAAAATCCTCACCAAAATTGGCAAACACATGGGTACAGTTAGATAGGGTAAAACTAAGTTCAGGGCGATAGGGCTTTCTCAGTTTACTGATCACTGGTATCTAAAAAAACGAATACATAACATGGGTATATTCAGTGATGATTTTGTAGGTTATGCAATGAAGAGGAAGAAACTGATCCTTCATATGGTTCACCTATGCCTTATGTCTCTGTAGTATATGAACTTTTGCCTGCTCTCCAACTGCTTATTATCGTAGCATAACTTTTAATAGACCCTCAAAGGAGAACGGTGGAATTTGTTCAAATAAACGGGGAATCTTTCATAGATCTTTTGATACCTGACTTGAGTTTATTGTTTTAAGTAAATCTGTTTAAATTTCGTAAGATAGTACGAGTTAATTATGTCAATACACTTCAGCTAATTCAGTTTTCAAGTATTCATGTAGAAAACATAGACCATGCGCTAGGTTTGACAGGACCAGGGGTGTAAAGAGTTGACCACGGAAGTAGTAAATCCCCTTAGGACACGTCCATTGGTGGCAGGATGAGGAACCACAGTTAAGTGCCCCCTTCAATATTTATCGACGGTCCGAGTATATCGCCCTCTATTTATTCCGAAATTGATACTATTCCATCGGCCGGGGGTGGATGGTCGGCGCGGGGGTTGGGATTTAACTGTGTGGGGGTGCCGTGGGGGTGAGCCCGGTTGCCAACGGCAACGCATTATCATAGCGGAATCACGGGCCCAGTCCCATCCCCCATCCCCCATCCCATTTATTCACATGCAAATCAGATAAAGAGATGGTAAACAAGATGGCGCCAGGGAGGCCGGCGCCTCTCTCAACCCCTATCTAACCAGTTCAAACGAGGCACATCAACCCATTCATAAACGATACATTGATCCCGAATTATCTATCGATAAATGACGACCACCTGCTTCCTTAAAATCCCACTATCTCTTCATAACTTAATATTTCTTCCAGAATATGGTTATTTAACAACAGACCTTAGTTCAGGATAAATCTTTTTCCTAAATAAGCCGCTATCTTCAAAGAACAAAGTTACCTCTTACTTCTTATCTTATACCATATTAAATTTTAAACAAATGACCTTAGAACTCTTAGATTTAATATTTATAACTTTGATAGCCAGTTAATAAAAATAATTTAACCAAAGCTACATGGTCATTTGTTAAATCTTCATCAATCATTCATGAATCATTCACTGCAAGGTAAAGGTTCAGGGTTCGAATCCAGCGGTCCTGAATTGGAATCCTTTTATTATCCTTACTTAAAAATGGACTTCTTTCAAAAACACTTGCAACAGGGTTCACTCGTAGTTGAAATATCCTCGTAAATAATGTACTGTTCTTCAATCAATGATCTCAGGAGTAAATTCGATGTACTATGACATTAATAAATTTTTAGTTGTGTGTTTCATTTTAAGAAGTTGGTTTAATTTTTCTGATAAGATTTTTGTTAATTGTGTTATATTTTGAGGGTGAACAATTACCTCTTTCATGATTCGATGAGGACACCTATCATCCCTAGACCTCTCTGCTGTATACCAAATTGCCAAAAACGTAGATCAATCAGACAAGGGTTAAGAATAAGTTCTCGGTTCGATGGAAAATGTAGCCCAGGACTGAGTAATGGGAAAGTTAATCAAAGGATCATCGCAGAAACTAACGGCAGAACTACTAAATCTAGGGTTCTACCGGCTATCCGTTATCCACACATGTACCTGTTCATATAGCATAACGATTTTTTTCGAAGTCCTGATGAAGTCGATATATTCTGCCGAAAGGTCGACAAGAAAATAAATGTTGTTTCTGTCTTCCTGGCCTCATCCCCAATCTACCTTTTGGAAAGAAAAATATACTAAATCTAGGACTTGCTAGGACTAGAATAATAGTTGAACTGCTAACTAGACACTGAAGTGTCCTGAAGCATATGTATAAGACTCGGAACTACGGAAACAAGCCTGAGCTGATATCGCCAGGAAGAAGAGGATAATGAACTGGAAAAGCCAAAGCTAGTAGCTAATGATGATTTCACAATAGACCAGTATTGAACGCGGTGCGCTAGGACATGACTTATTTGCTGACTTCTTTTAACCTTTCACGTTGAATGCCTTTTATTGATTTTGTTAGATTTCATTTAATTTCTTTTTGGTAGCGCATTTTATGGACATCAACAATAATAATTTATAGAGTATGGTATTACTATAGGGAATTGGGTGAAGAAAAAATCCAAATCAATTTTTATTGCCCAGTAATAACCAATAAATTAAATCATTGTCAATTGTTAAATATAATTACAAATTCCGTTACGTTTTGGTTGAAACAATCTATTCTACATCGTAATTATTCCTATGTAATAAATACAAATTTCACCTTAAATAATTTAATTGCTCGGAATAGGATGTCTTCGGGAATAAAGGTCAAGTCTAAATAATATGTGTAGTAGAAGGACGATTCTATCAATATTTTGGAAAGTTTTTACCTCGTATGTCAAGAATTGAGGCCGGGCATGTCGTGACAAAACTTCCTTTATAAATTCACCAAAGCACGATATTACGTCTCCAGACTTGCAGCTCTTCCTAATAGAGTTTAAAATGGACAGGATGACCTGAAACGAACGTTTTATTCCTTTCAAAATTCCAAAAGAAAAACTAAAAACATTTTTGGATCCAGCGTATCAAGGTGGAACTACCTCTATTCAGCACTAGGATTGCGCCAGTAAATCCATTTTTTCGATGCGGAAATTTTTTTAATATAAAACCATCGGGTTGAAAGAGGAAACTGTTGTACTTGTTGAAATATGTTGGCTCCGTCAAGAATCAAAGACATCGGCACGTATTTTTTCTGAATGTGAGGCACTAAGTTACAGCTACTTTCAAGAAATTCTCACAGCAAGATAAGTGCACGAAGAAGCACCAAGTACAGTGCTTGTACTATTTTATAAGAAAATGTTTTATAAGAAAATTCCACAGTATGGTCTTCATGTATGGGTTTCACATTAGGCATACAAAAGTTCGCAGTAGATAAAAAGTTGGAATCCTCACTTCGTTGGTGAAGGGGGGGGGCAAAAATGTAATTATAATTCGGTCCAATTATAATTACATAAGCTACCTATCGTACTATCTACTAGCGTCGAGTTCAATTTTCATTTTTAACATACTTACCACGATTAGCACTGGTAGCATGGAAACTTCAAGACTTGCGTATCAGATGATCATCATGTGATGAAATCGGTTTTAGAGGTCTCCTTTGCCACAATTTCTTCCAAATGTGAACCATCTAAATGATTTTTTCTTCTTTATTCTGAAGGAGGTCGTCGTAGACGACAATTCAGTCTGCTCCAGCCCAGGAGTAACCGGAGGAGCGGAGGATTCGCGTCCCCTGACCCCGCCGTCGGATCAGCAGAACAGTCCACAGAAGTAAGTTGAAATTATAACTGAATATTTAAAGTTTTTTTTAGTAAACATTGTTTAATTTAAAATTTTGTAATTTGCGATTGTCAACAGGTCTCCCGTGTCTAGCGCTGCGACGAGTCCTGCGGCTCCTAACATCACTCCGGCATCGCCTCATCAATTCTCGCTCTTTTCTCCTTTCTCCAGCGACGGGTGAGTACGAATTACATTTTTATTTTCAACCTGACGTGGTATGTTTACCGGTTTAATATAGTTCGTACTAGAACAAATTTTTACCTGTTGAATTTGAGAATATGAAAATTGAGGGAAGAGTTGCGAAACAGTGCAACAATAAATACATCTTACAATTAACCAGACAGGTGGAGATCATGGTGTCAATTATTAAGGATAACGTTAACGGCCTCCATTTAATACAATTGGAGAATAATTGAGTAAAAGTAAAAGTGCTGTTATAATTTTGAAGGACCACCACCCCCTCTTTGGTTCTGGTGCTGTTTATTCAAGTATTCATTAAGTCGGGGCACTTTCCATTACTCGACCGAAAACCGGGCTCAAAGACAATATCCCCTATCAGCCCGAGGTCTGGAAAGGGGGAAAAATTGACGTCAAAGTTGATTAATCAAGTGCTTTGGGTTCTCCATCTAGTTAGCCCCGCCGCAAAAGGGGTTCATCCATTAATACGTCATCATCATCAACCGGGGACTCCCGGAATGAATATTTAATACAGGGAATCTTCCATCGGGCGAGGAGCATCACCCAATTATCATATTTTTATATCATCAAAGGGAAAAAGTACATAAAAGTTAGGAGATGAGCGCTGGGGAGCAAGCGGGAGGTTCGGTCAAATAAAATTGAATTTATTTACTCTCTTCCACAGCCACCCCCCGAACCCTCTTTTCCTTGAGAAGAAAAAATGTATCTCCGGCCTTGATGCAATAACAGGACCAGAAACTTGATAGAATTTTTAAACAAAACTTGACTATATACATTTTTCATAGCGGAGAAGCTGATACTCTTTTTACTTTTTACAGATGTATCCCAGAGTCGGAGGAGGGGGATGTAGGCTAACTTTTTAAAGTGGGTGGAGGCATAAAGTATTCATATTCCCCCTCCTATCTGTGTGTGTCTTAATAAGCTTCTTTTAAAATAAGTCTGTATTTTTATGCGAAGAGTCGGCATTAGGATGTCCACTCAACTCAGAAAACTAATTTGGAAGGCGAAACCCGAGTCTCGAATTTTTTCCACTTTTTTCCCTCTCCGCCTCGAGGATCAAGGCTTTGAAGTAAAGAAACTTAATTCACTATCCGCTGCTACGAACGAAACTAAGTTATGACACTGATCTTTTAAAAATTCTCATACGTTCACTCATTCTATATTCTACTTAACAAGTGGTACGGCCCTAGTTTGGAAAGTTAAATTCGTGGATGTAATTTTTTTCTACATTCACTTTTTGATATAGCAGTTCGCAATTATGAGAGAGAAAATCCTGAAAATTCTATAAGCCAAAAAAGGGCAAATGTATTCTCCTCCTATGTTACGCCTTTTTATGATTTTCTAAGATCATTTATTCAAAATACCATTAAATAAAATTCATTTGTCCTATAGAAATTTTCCATTCAAATTTCATTTATAAGCAGGAACTGTTTCACTTTAAATTCAAATATAAGTCAATAGTTGCAAGGCTATTTTAAAGATATTCTGTCTAGAGAAACGGTAGTCACTTCTTTGATTTTATACATTGCAGTCGCAGTTTGTATAAACACGGGATTTCATCGCGAAATACAAATTAACCCGAATAAAATATCAATAAATTTAAGCCCTCAGGATATCAGTCCTATTCCAAAGTAGATGAATAATACTCATGTTCAAAATTTATCAAACACTCTACACATTTACCTGCTCCAAAGAAACTGATAAGTGACTCGAGTTACTAACCAGTCCGCAAAACTGCAGTTGCTCGGGTGATTTTCTAGATGGACGATCAACAGGCGAATATATTATTCGTAAGGGTAGTTGAATAATACTCCTGTTTTCAACTTTCTGTATTTACAGTATTTCCCAATTCATCGGATCCATCTGAAACTAAGAACTAATAACAATAAAGTAAGTCTTCTTCAGAATATCACTTTTCTGTGCTGCAGCGTCTGTTTATACGCAAATATCCTTGGTTTAGGGAGGCCATAAATTAAAATTTCAAAGTTGTTTAAAAATTGAATAAATAACTCATGAAACTTGCTGAAGAATGAATCGCTGTCGTACATTGTCACCTGGCTATCTTCACTTATGAATGTAGGGAAAAAAAGCGTTTCTCAGCTCAAACAGGTGTAGATTTGAGAGAAAAACCAAAAAGTACTTTTTTTAGAACAATCTGCAACGATCATCATGCGCAATGTAAAATAACCAATCAAGTGGAGAAATTATCTATACTCATAAGACAGTCTAAACATTTACCTGCACAAAAGAAACTGATAAGTGACTCGAGTTACTAACCAGTCCGCATAACTGAAATAGCTCTGTTTGGGGTAATTTTCAAGATGGACGATCAACAGGCGAATATATTATTCGTAAGGGTAGTTGAATAACATCTTGTTTTATACAACTTTAAGCTTCCAGGATAGAAAAAAGACGATACTGAAAAGCCATGGGATGGAGTTGGAAAACATACGCAAAATTTTCTTTGCATTCTTTCTCTCTGTAGTGATGATAATATCGTAATTTGACAGCTTCATCGCTTATATCACAACTGGAATCATCATTGACAATGAACAAAAACGAAGATGATGTTCCTTCCTTGATTTCGATCTTTTCTAACTATGTTCATATTTAGCCGGTCTAAATCTTTGACGGCAGGTCACGGTGATAATGTCTTTTTAGACATCGAGCAGGAGCACGGAAGAGATTACATGGAAAGTTGTACCTGGGGATTAGAGGGAGATTGGACTTCTTTTATAAAGGGAACATTTATGTCGTTAAGGATGGTACGGTTGGAAATTTAGAAAAGGGCGTTGACACTCGATCTAAGGATTCGTGATTGTCAAATTTATTCTGCGAAGATTGGAAGGTTTGAATGAACGCCATAGTTCTATGCCTTATGTCCACTTGGTTTGGGTATTGTTTGTATATGTAAATAGTATGTATTTTTTTTTTATTCCTGTGCTTTTGAGTCGTGTACTCCAGGTAGCATGTCTAAAAACGACTCGACATATGGATGACGTTTTTAGTAGGTCGGAGGGTTGGATATTTTTTTGGATATTTTTAGATAGGTTGGAGGTAGAGCGATGCGGCGGAGGGAAAAGGTTATTTTTTCGGATTTCGAGGGATTGTATTAGATTCGACATTTATTGAACCATTGTTGAAGGGATAGGTGTTTCCGGAGAGTTCGGTGAGCTATAACGGTGCTGGAGTTGGAAGATAGAACAGCAGCAGCTGTTGGGATAATGGTAATGGGATCGGAAGGGAGTATATACTGAGAATATTGAAGGGCTGAGGACACCCGGGTCCGCCTTGCGCAAGAAAGAGTGAGGACCCAACCATACCCTAACTAAAGTACCTGTCAGTCAGGAAGGACTGTAGGATGAGGAAGTGTTTTCAAGAAGCCTATTTGACATGGGGGAAGATCCCCGAGCCGCATTCTTTCTTCAAGGTGTATGTGATTAAGTCGACGGCAGTATTGAACAGCGGAACAGTGTCGCCTCGTTCCTAAAATGGTAGGAGATTATATTACAAAGGAGCTTTGCAAAACGTTTACGAAGACTGGGCATTAAACTTACAGGATAGTAGGTTAAGTGTTTTAGTGGGGTTAGGGATTTCCATGGTATCATGAAGTGTGAGGTTCGGTCGCATTATGAAGGGAGGTTACTAACACTATTGGCTTTGTTGGGAGTTTACAAAGGGCTGAAGCATCTATCCTTGGAGTATATCGCGATGCCCGAAGAATCTGCACATCTGATATTCATTGACAATCTTTTCCATATGACCTCTGTATCTGCAGTGAATAGCCACAGTTAAAACGCTTAAATTCTTTCTGTTTCTTCTTAAACATTCTTTTCCAATCTTCCAAGACGATTTCCTGTCATCGTCCATTGACTCTTGACGACTACTCTCAATGGGTGTGGCTGCTTTAACCCACCTTGCGTTTCATTTATATGTCATTTCATTTTTTTCACCGAGAGAAACAAACAACGCTATAATTAAAACCACAAAATAGTATAAATCACGAAAAAGTGAATTTTGACAAACGAAATACTTCAAACTTTGCCTTCTGGTCACCGTCGTCTTGGGAGAAGAAGCGTTTCACTTTGTCGCCAGTGTGGCGACCTTCCATATCAAGGCTGTCCACACAAGAACAGCAGTGGCATTTTGACGATCTTTTGCTGTTTTTCTCCTGCTAGCCTATTACCTATTAGGATCATAGACCATTGCGGAACCAAAAAAACATTGATACATCACATGTCATCAATGAGGGCAATTCGTGAAACTGACGTTGAACATAGTATTGGGAGAATTGCGAAAAAACTGAAACAATTCCACCATGGTACAGAACACTTTAAATGCTTAAAAACATCATTCCGTAGTTAAACGTGTTCATGGGATATAGTCAAGATGGAAGCATTGGTAAGTAATGTTTCCAGTTGACAGGCGGGTGTGATCAATAACGGCCTAGGTGCAGATAATTAGAGCTTTCGGAGGTAAATACTGATTAGGGCCCTAGGAGGGAGAAGTTGTTAGACAGAATTAATTCTGTGGGTAAGCGAGCTGCAACACTATTGAATATTAAACCGGGACGAGAAGGCGGAAGGGGAGCGGCCAGGGTTGAGTCTCCTACTTGTAATGGACTAATGGGGTTTCGCCCATAATTGGCACTGGGCCTTAATCCACTCTGATTCCCTCAACGGCGGACGAATTCCCATCAGTCTCACACGAATCGTATTATGCTATAACTCCTGGGGACGGTCACTTCAGCACAACAAAAACGTTTTCTGTTGACAGTTGTTTCATCAAAATTGATCGCCTTATGTCCTGATCATCACGTCAGGTCACTACCGGCATAACAGCATCCATAGCGGAAAATTTGTTGCTGATGTTTTATATTTGTCTGTCCATAAAACAAAGACAAATAACTTTCCTTTATAAAAATACCAAAAAAGGATACCGAATTTTAGTAAAGGTGAAGTTGAAATTTACAACTTGGG